CAGGAAGACTGCTTGAGGTTAGGTGTTCAAAGAGCAGACTATGGAAAGAGAGACCCCCCCCCATCTCTACTAAAAATAGAAAAATGAGCCAGGAGTGGTGGCATGCACCTGGAGGTACAGCTACTAGGAAGGCTGAGGCAGGAGGGATTGCTTAAGCCTAGGAGTTTGAGGTTGCAATGAGCTATGAGGATACCACTGGACTCTACCCAGGGCAACAAAGAGAGATTGTCTCAAAAAAAAAAAAAAGAGTTAAACCAAGTATCAGAATATCAGCATCAGAGCATTCCACATAGTAAGTTTAGTCCTGTTTTATGATCTCTTTGTTTCAATTGTGTTCAGATAGTTTCTCAATCTGAACTTAAGTATGGCTTCACTGTTCAACATACTTCTTATATTTGGAATCGCAAAGTAGGGCTTCTGTTCTAGGATCCCTTATAAGCCCTCTCTCTGCAAGAAAACAAAGGATCGACTTCCCAAAGATTATAAAGAAAATCCCAAAGGCACTTGCTCTCTCTCATTGATCTGTTAATCTCTCTGTGTTCCATATACACTTTGAGCAGTGAGATCTCTTTAGAGTTTTTAAGACCCAAGATCTGAGGCTCAGTTTCTCAGGAATCCTGGAGTATTAATGGTTATCATAAAGTCCATGCAATGTGTGGGCCCTATACCTAGAGAGGTAGGAAATAACCATAAATACTGGCTTTGGATTTGGTATCTATTTGATTTAGCATTTATTTTAGCTTTCCACATTGCCTCCCATTTGTCCAGGCCTTTTTTTTAATTTTTAAAGATAAGGACTCACTATATTGCCTAGGCTAGTCTCAAACTCCTAGCCTTCAGGGATCCTCCTGCCTTGGACTCTCAAAGTGCTGGGATTATAGGTGTGAGCCGCCATACTGGGCCTAATATTCTAAGCTTTTCAGATATTGCAAATAAAACAGCTATGACTCATGAAAACCCCTGGGTCCTTAGTTCACTCATCCAGAATTTGGTTAATGAGGCTACAAATGGGATCTATGGGGCCACTTACTCTGCCTCAAGAAAAGCTCCAAGGACACAATCCTGATGGTAGAAAAACAGCCCTCACCCCCATGAGTCTCAGAAACACAGCCCAACATCTACCCAGTACACATTCATATAAAACCCTCAACTAGGCTCGGCGCCTATAGCTCAACCGGCTAAGGCACCAGCCACGTACACCTAAGGTGGCGGGTTCAAATCCCCAGCCCGGACCCGCCAAACAACAATGACGGCTGCAACCAAAAAATAGCC